ATTTCTGTCGCCTGCTTGAAGGCAGCGACCATAATGGCTGGAGGGCGGGTGCAGTTCGACTCGAACATCGTTGGTGACCGCTCCACGAGTCGGGGCAGTGGGTTGGGACCAGCTCTCAAAGCCCTTCTACCAATGGCGTCCATTGAGGTCACCAAACTGCTTCAAGCCTTGATCACTGCCTTCTATGGTAAAGACAGCAATCACCCAGATTGCTATACTTTTGATTTCCCTATGTATTATCTCGAAGTTTCTACTCCACACTCGACATGCATTTTTGCCTCACACTGTAATGAAGGCGTAGCAGAACAAATGACCCAAGCGTTTACGCCAACAGTTTCCATATTCGTGTGAACCACCACAGTTTGGTCTTGGGTTATGCCTTCAAGGCAGCGATTACTATAGATTCTAAAAGGGTTTGGAGGAGACGTGGTGATGCTCAATAGTACGCCAATGGCGAAAAAAACAAACAATCCGTCAAGAAAACGCAAAACGGCACCCCCTTTTAGTCCGTTGCTTTCACTCATAAACAGCTTACAGTTCAGAAAGCTGAAAAAACGAGTTCATCGCAACGCGTTGAGTGGCAACGCTCATCCAGATCACCAACTATATATGGGGAGGAGCGCTACTGGGGCGGAGCGATTCTCAAGTACTGCTCAGCAATGAGCGCTACTTTCGTAGTCAAAGCGCTACACCTCGCTTCCTTGGCAGCCAAATAACTGCTTCGTGATGCGTATGTTTCCCCAATGCGCTCCCACTTTAACGTAATCGCTTTCTTTAAAGGCGATTAAAGGCAAGACTTAGGATTAAATTAATGAGGTAAGTCTACTCAAATGCGAAGTAGATGTGGGAACTGGATCGCCAGTGGAGAAAAAAGGAAAAAATTCATGAAATACACAGGAAATGCGAGCCTTTTGCTCTACTCTACGGAGAAGTTCAAAAGGGCGGCAGGAAGATGAGAGATAATGTGAGCGCGGAGAGCGGTAGAGAAATTCGAGTAGAGAGATCACAGCACATCAACGCACTGATGCAGACAAGATATCGAGCGGTGGGCGGAGCGTGCCGCAACAGGTGGAGCGTGTCAAAGTCCTTAGCGTCTAGTTTCTCAGTGACGCGTTTCAATGCAGGAACGTGGCGCGCCTGCTGCAGTTGCGTCCCACGCACTTCTAGCCACTATAAGGGCTTAAGTAGGTCTGAGCTCGAACCTTGCCTTTAAGCGGTAGTTATCTCAACGAAAAGTACCTTTACAGTGCTTCCTTTCTTCGCGTCATTTGAAGGAGAAGGTGACAAACCGTTCATTCAGTCGCCATCTTATGAAATATTTTTTCTGGTTTATAAAACGAATACGCGGGTTCCTGTGTACGTAGCAGTAGCAGACAATGTATACCTAAACTGTTATTCAATCACCTACTGACATTGGCGATAAGAACTAGGCATTACCTCTCAAAAGTTATGGTACACGATCGATCAATACCGACGAAAAAGTAGGCATGTATTCGTTTCTCATCCATCTATCTCGACATAGCAAGATTAGCTTCCGTATTTCATCCTGAGAATTAATTTCAAGCGACGGCTACAAGCAGCAAGATTAAACGATAACAATTTGAACATATTTCCGCTCGAAGAATCCAATAAATGCATTAATCAGCTCTGAAGCGATTGCCATTCGTGTACTTCGGAATGAGGGGTGTACGAAAATGTAGCCATGTTGTGTACGAATGACAGTCACGGGTAAACCACCAGTAAAAGGCAGTTCAGCATGCCAGGCCCGTGATAAAAAAAATCAAAAAAGGCTGATGTAGGGAAAAAAAACAAAGGAAGGTTGAGAAAAAAAGTCAAAGAAGGGACCCGATGAGAAGCTTCGGCGCATCGTAGTCAATGAAGATGGGCGGTTCGATTGTGATTTGTGGTCATGACCAACACCAAACGACCTGATCTGCAACTACCACTGCCTTACTATAGAAAGCACCTTATGTTACGCCCTGTGAATGCCTTGAATTGAACTTCCTTCCTGATCTGCAGGCTCCCTAGCTATCGCCAAGTCCAATGATTTCAACGACAGAACTTGAAATTTCGCAGATGAAGGTAAAATAACCCACTTGGCGGTATTTCATCCCGGCTAAGCGCTGTCGCTCTTAACTTCTTGATAGCTCCCAGCGACCCGCGTGAGCTGTTGAAGTAAAATGCTCCTTTTTAGGGTAACATCGTCTGGAGGGGTGAAACTCCAGATCGGGCGGGGGAGGGGGAACTTTCTGTTATCTTATCCGTGGTACTAGATAGCACTCCTTTGGAGTTTATCACTATGGACAAGATAATAGGTAAACGACTCATTTCAAGTGCACTTTTGATAAGGACCAATGTATGCCCTTATTACACACATCCTAGGCAATTTATGGTATGTGATCGTCCACGCTTGGTTCCTACACCCTTGCGCCTAGGAAAGGATGTCCATACCCTAGCTCAGGACCATTTCCTTAGGCCACAGCAGGCCAAAATCTGAAAGCGTCTCAAAAGTACTTCAACACTACACCGGTCCTTGTCAGAAATAATTTCAAATAAATTGATACGTTTCATGAAAATCTCATCTCATCTTAGTTTTTAGTATTGGAGTGCACAATGGAGTGGCTCTCCCCGCCCTACCCCCCCCCCCCGAATTGATTTTAGACTGAAACTGACTTAACCTAGTTTCATAACGGCTTCCTAACGAACCATTCTCGAACTCAAATTCGTGCGTAACCTATGAATCGTGTGAGCTTTGAGAAGTTTTAGAGGTAGAAGTTTTAGCGGTATGCTGAATCACTAATAGCAGCACACAAGGACTTGCGGTCTCAATCAAGCTGACATCACTTCGACTCTACAATATGGTGCTCATATAGCAAAACGCCCTCAATGTGGCTATTGTTGTATAGTGACATTACGAAGCACTTTTTTATTTCCTCATAAGAGAAAATCTTCTAGTTTACAGAGCTCCGTTCCTTTTTTCAACTGAACCCTTTCTAAGAAATTAATGAATTTTGAAGTGGCAAAAACTCGTAATCACAGATTCTTCTCGTTAGTTTTGTCCTGATGTTACTTTTTATCAAGCTGCATCCTCTTTGAGAAAGTTACACTTGATTGATGATGGCCCCAGTTCACTACTGCTGTTAGCGCATTCCAAAACCAGTATGCTAGGGAACAAACGCTTGCATCTGCTTGTGCAGCAACATCACAGGAACATTGCAGTAAGGCCGATGTCAGACTCTGCGAATCGCGCGATTCGCTAGCATCTGCGGTCGCGTCGCGGCCAGTGAATCACTCAATTGGCTGGTGCCGTAATGCGACCGCGGACGCTAGCGAATCGCGCGATTCGCAAAGTCTGACATCGGCTTAAGCCTTCCATTAACGATGAGTCCCGTGCGACGAAGTTTGCACCGTAGAAACGTCAATCCGCTTTGTTAAGTGTCCTTAAAAGGCACTGTCATAGGAGGGAGCTTACCCTCTATTTCAGAGCCCGAGAAGAGCGTCGAGTGCAGACCACACACTACAAGTGACGACGATCAAGAAAAAATAGAGGAAAAATAACGTTCTTCCTGACCGTCGTCACATGTGGTGTGCGATCTGCACTCGACGCTCTTCTCTGGCTTCGACATGGAGGTTACCTATCTATGTATTTATACTTAATGAAGGAATCATCCAATAACAGCTAATTCTTATTTCTCATGACGTGGCCCGTTAGATTGTGTGTTCTAAACATATGATTTGGAAAGGTTTCTATGCATTTATAAGGTGAGTGATCCTAGTACTTGAGTAAGCACTGAATGCGAAGAACGCCCATGATTGGTTAAGCATCGGCAGGAACCAACCACAGGCTCTTTAGCCCCTGACCAATAATCGTCGTAATAAGACTTCCTGCTTGAAAAATGCACTGTTAGACAAATATGATCACCACTCCCTCATGCAAACAGCAGAGTTCCGCATAACTTCCGAAAGGCAGAGGTGCGTCGCGTTAAGAGCATACAACGCAAGTGACGACGGTCTACACAAAATGTAACTGCTTTCTGCCAAGGAAGTGATTAGTTAGTTGCAGTTGTGTTCTATCAGTTGCCACTGATTATAACTTCATTCATCAACTATCAGCTTTCACTATGAATCACTAGTTAGGATTTGCTTGGATGCCGCCGTCACTTGTGTTGTTTGGTGTGCACTCGACGCTCTCACAAACAGACGGTACCTCAGGTTTTTTCGATACCTCAATTCTGAAGATACTAGAGAATAGAAATAGATTTGAATTAAATTATTTTAGCGCAAGTCAAATCGGCTTCGTAACGGTGAGAAATTCTATACTGTTAGAATTGGACATCTGAAACCTGTCCACTTCCCGCTAGTAACAATAACAAACGAACGAGTTTTATTTTTGTTATGATATCATAGAAAAAAAATCACCCTAACTACAAGTACCCGTTACTAAACGCCTTCAACAACACTTGATGTTGCTTAGGTACGCATACTTCATGTGTTGACCTTATCACATAGATAACACTGGCGGTTAGTAATAGAGGAGAAATACTGCGAGAAAAAAAAACAGGTGAATGTCGCTAAATGTTTACAAAAGATTAACAAGGTGGTGATCAATGAGTAAGTTAAAACTAGAACCGTACGCAAAAAAAAAACAAGAAAAAAAGACAAACTCAACGCTGCTTTACAATATCGAATCCGAAATTGAAAGCTGCTAAAAACGAAAGTATCTCATGATTTACAGGAAAAAAAACAAAAGTAAAAATAAATGATACAGTCGTTGTATTGAACAGCTTTGTACGTAACGTCTAACGCCCAAAAGAATGAAGTAAACAGCGCTTTGAGGATTCTAATCAAAACTAGAGGTATTGCGGAGAATTCACATTGGTCGCGAAGTATGTGGCAAATACGAGGGGGCATCAGTGCACATGTCAGTAATAACAAGACGAAAAACGAGACGAATACAAGAGTAAATCAATGACGCCTAATAAAGTATACACAGAAAATATTCAAAAAAAATTGCCGAAGCTGAAAGAAAACGAGTGCTCGGCACACGATGCAGTGATCTAAAATCGAAAAATCAATGAGCATTAATAAGTTGGGAGAAAAGGCAATAAATATGTTTTACTCACTCCCAACTGGCTGTCCTTTTCTGCCTTAGGCACGCTGCTTACATAATAAGCGACTTCTTAGAATGGAAATGAGGAAGCGATCTTGTATAGATACAGAGGTTGCTAAGCACGCTAGCGCTAGCTGCTTCGTGATCAGTGAGAATTGAGACCCCTAGCTAAATGTGTATGATCTAACTTGCGAAAAATCGTCCGAGTATGGACTAGGACCGAACGTATTAGGTTGGAAAGAAAGTTCTGCGACACTCTTTCTAAAATTTTCTTAAAAATGAATAAAGTTACATTTATGACTAATAAATGGTAGGGCATTCTTGACACTTTAATTCACGAGGTGGATATAAGTGCTGCAGTCAATAGTTAGCCAAAAAAAAATCAAAAAACCCCGACCACTGGTAAATTCACCGAGTCACTGTCTAGTACAAATGTCTCCATAAGTGCCAGAAGCTGTTCGAGGCAGCTCGTCAGAAGCTCTCGTACCGCGACAATATTCATTTCTTTCATGACATTGCGAATCACCATGATCCGAAATGGGCCCGGTAAGAATTCTGAACTGCGGTAAGATTTCTTACCTCTCTGAGCGTATTCCCCTGATCGAGCTATAAATGACTGCCACCTACCCTGGACCTTAAATCATCATCATGATGACGAAATAATTAGACGATCATCTCCAACTCTGAAGTGAGGTCGCCTCCTTTCTTGACCCACACTCCGCTGGGTTTTGGCAAAGGAGCATCAAGAAATTTTGTGCGTTGAAGACAAGTGAAGGACACTCATGGTAGATACAAGACCGGTCAGGAGTTGTAAACAAAAAAGATAAAATTAAAAACAAAACTTCGAAAATATGTCGCAGGACTTTCTTCCCAACCTAATACGTCGAGAGTCCACCAACGGGGGGGGGGGGAAGGGGATTCGCAATAGCTGGGATCAGCAGTAAGAGCACTTATGGCCTGTACGAAAGAAAATGAGAGGTGTGACTCGACACGCTGCATTTCGCTTACTTCCGAATTTTCCTTCGGAATATTACCGTGAGAGGTAATTCTAATTATCTGCATAGATTTAGCACTCTTTAGAAGTACAAGCGAAGTAGCTTCCAAATTTTCCCAGAAATAGGAAACTCATCCTCTCTTTACATTCTTTACTACATTAAAGGCAAAGCATCGTGACCATGCGCGAAACGGCCTCGTGGCGCGCGGCACCCTTGCGAGTCAACTGATTTGGGCGGCACTGCTTCACCGATCGCTGTCCGGTCCCGGCTTCAATGTATCTGCTCCTCCACCTACACTTATGCTGAGAGAACGCTTCACATTTACACAAACTGCCATGGAATTTTCAAACTGTGGCATGCGACAAATATGATTCACCACTTTTCCAGAGCAAAACGTTCTCACTAAAGGTCCGTGAAAAAAGACACCATAACTAAAAGTTTTTCCGCTCAGAAAACAGCGATCATTAACAAATTCAATACTTGTGGTATAATGTTTCTGTTTACTTGTGGTATAATATTAAACCAACCGATAGGCTATTGGAAGAAACTTTGTCGAGCTAGTCACGTTCATCATGAGGAGGTGTACATGGAGTGCAAGGAGGACCATCAGTTCCATCGCCATGAGGGATAGTCACTGGACTCGAACAGTCGAAATTTGAAAGATGCATGGAGAACTAAGAACATTAAAATCGGGCATGGAAACTTTTAATCATTGTTGCTCCAAAAACTCCACAACAAAAAACTAGAAAGCGACAATATATAGCAATAAAAAATTAATAACTCATTTGCTCACCCTGTCACTGACCTCCATTCCCATAAAATCGTCTGCCATCTGAAAACAACAGGCTGCATTCGACGAAAAAACAGAAAATAGGTTCAAGATTTTATTAATCTTTACTTGAACCCTCTACAACATCTAAGCATGGTGTTCCTTCTCGGAGCGCTCAGAATGCACATATTGGACCGCTATCAATGCCAGCGGTCGGTTACGCATGGAAAAGGCACCTAAAAACTGCGGTCTGATGCAGCTGTACAAGCGAATTCAATAGCGCATGTTTGCGTGGCAATAAAAGGCAATCGCATGGTCCAAGCAGGTAAACCGTGCCGATTTCCCGATTCCATGCTTCCGACTCTCACCGCCCGTTGTGCCAATTTCGAAATTTTTCGACCACCAGCCTTAGGGTGCGGTCATACTTTGCAATGACCTTGCACTTCATTTGAAATTCGAGTCTGGAGTAGACACATATCGACTATGCAATCTGACATATTTCTGTCACACATCTATCCTCACCAGGGTCAACAGCGGTCGAGAAAACCTCGACAATGGCTTCGTACTGTATGTGAGGTGTTGAGAGTGTGTGTGTGTACGCGCGGAGAGCACAAACAGCTCGCGAGTGGTGAGAGGGAATGAGCGCGCGGGAGAACGTGATAGAACAATCAAAAATCCTTGACAAATCCCTGACCGTTTCGCCTTGATACAGACGGTCGCAAAGTATAACCGCACCCTTAGAGAGGTACATTATAAGATCCTGTCCATCATCACCCTCACCACCATCCTAACCACCACTACTGTATCTACAAAATTTAACTTTGGGACCAGGTGACACATCCAAACACCACAAAAATTCTCTCACAGTGCCAGTGTGCCGAAGGTATACATAGTTGTTCTAACGGCAGATGCTCTAATTTCACGTGTAGAAGACTTAGATACATCCCTACACTCTTGTCCACCACAATTTACAACACGGTTCTCAAGTTTTTCATCTGTAAATCTCAGCTACGATCCGCTCTCCAAATCTCAAAAACAGAGCAATTAAAAATACCACCCCTCCCCTCCCCTCTGACCTCACTGAACTTGGCAATGGACGGCTGAGCCTGTTCCGCTCCACCTTCCAATGGTTGATGAAGTCACTGCTCAAATAACACTATCAGTGGAAGTAATGAGTTGCAGAAAGACACATGCGCACCGTGGTTTCGCAAGGCACTGACACCACTCTACGAATCAAATTCGACTATTAACCTACTGGAACTATCAATACACGCAGCCTCAACTAAATGATTATAAGAATTCTGAAGAACTCACCATTTCATCAGGAGACGATCTCATAAATGGATTATGACCAGTTGGCGAGCTAATTCTGCCCAATGGAGCACTTGCCAATTGTTGTGTTATATCCAAGATACCATTGTTGTCGACAGCAATTATGCACCATATCGCTTCTAAACATTAAAAATCGCAATTTCATGCCTTTTAGCAAGCTCTTTGTCACATAGACGAGCTGCTACGTTGATGGAAAACAGTAGTACAGCTGTTACGACAGCTACCACAAGGAGCTCCCACGCTGTACTACAAATATGGAGACCTTCCCTATGCGTTATGCTCAGCGCAGCCTGACGCCGTGACCAGATGAAAATCATTGAGGTTGACTACAACATTTTCTACGCGTTAATTTTAAGGAAAACCTTATGATGGAAGGATCCCAGGCCGCAGGGGCCATTTGTAATGGAGCTATGCAACCAGATGTGCCTTGGATTCGTTTTGACGAATTCGAGTTCAGCGTCCGAAAACACATCTGGCGGTATATGTCTCTCATTACAAATGGCTTCCACCTGGGATAATTTTAATATTGGTACGGTGACGAAAGCAGGAGCGCCTTACAATTCAAAAAAAAACAGTAACTTTTCTTCTAGAAGTTATTTGCTAGTTCACAAACGGATAATAAACAGGTGACATGAAGCAGCAGATCATTTCCGTTTCGAAGAGGTGAAGATGGTAATCATACCAAGGAGGAGAAAAATTGTACAGGGTGCAAAATAGAGGTTCATAGAAAGGACTGCATTGAAAGGCCCAGAAATGAGGGGTTGAAAATACGATTTAGGTGTGATGTGCCGTTGAAGAAGTGCAGAAAGACAAATGCGGGGTGGAGGGGGACGGGGTTGATGAAAAAAGGTATTTTGACCAATTCGCAGCAATGGCCTCGGCCTGAAGCTGCTACTTAGCTTCTTGAATAGATTCACCTGTTGATACCTTTTGAGACAATAGCCCTGACTATGAACACCCCCACCTAATCAGCTACTCAAAAAACGTCGTAAAAGTACACGAATAATCGAGGACCCCATCGAGATCGACCTCTGCACCTTTTCTACGTGGCAGACTCTTTCCACTTCGTCAGCGTATAAGAATATTATGAAGTCTTCTCAATATGTAGAATAAAATGAGCCCTTCAATTTCCAACTGAAAACATTCGGTTTGAATTTAGACAAGAGTACTTATTGCATTAAAATGTGGAGAAAAAATGTCTTTTTTATTGCCCCCTCAACTTATTTTGATCAATTTCCTGCTGATCATTTGATGCATTTATCTAGGAAATTGGTTTATTCAATTCCCATGGAAATAGTTCTCATCTTGCGATGTTCTTCTCTTACGATTTCGGCAAATTAGCGATACTTTCCATGAAACGATTTTAGTTTTGAAGTGACCAATTCGACTCATCTGCACTTCAACTTTTCAAAATCGCATGCCCAGGGCTGTGCCGCATAGATTTGAATGAAATGCAATCAGAAGACGCTATGTGCGATGACTACGCCGGTGAAAAAGCGACGTAACTGTGAATGTGCTTTCTTGGTTCTTGCGAAAAGGTCAGAGCGGGCGCTGTGTCAACCTACCAAAACAACTACCAGAGACGATTCGTGAGGCAAGGATTTCCTCCTTTTGAATTTCTCCCTCTGTTTCAATACAGCCGCTTCAGCCAAAAGCCCAATTTGTCTGCAAGCTCTTTCAGCATTACAACGCATGCCGTTCATTGTCATGGAATTTTTTTATCGGCGAGGGGGAATTTCCCATTGACATGAAATTAGTACTTTCAAATGTATGGAACCGATATCGACAAATGGCATGCGCTGAAGTTTTGCCTTAGGCTTTTACACACTACTTGTAGGCCTGAGGAGCAGGATGAATATCGGTCGAGGATTTCTCAACGGCATGTGGAGGATTTTCGCCTGATCCGTTACGTTCTCCCGCGCGGACATTCATACTCGCCATGCGCGAGCCGTCTGTACTCTCCGCGCGTAGGTTCACTCTCGGCACTACTCTCGCACAGTACAGAGTCATGGTCGAGGAATTGTTCGATCATTATTCACCCTGCTGAGGAGCCAGTGTTAATTTAAGTGAAAAACTAGAAAAGGTGAATGTCGAAAATGCATTGTTTGAGCGTTCCTTTCGTTGCTTTCATAAAAACGACGGTCAAATATCAAAGGCCACAGAAGTTAAAGGGGTTTGAAGGTACTGATTAGTCGGTCTATGGTCTTAGAGGAGTATTACGCTAAGAGTTATGAAAATAGAGACAGCGAAGCAAGTACATGAAATGAATGAAGTATCAGAAGTTTATGGAAGACGAGCATTACAGTTGACAGCCTCTACTCAAAAGCGATTGAAAAAAGTGTTGAGCGCGGATGAGAAGCCAACCAAAAAATGGTAAAATAATCCAAATTCATGACTACTACAATACTTATTTATTTATTTTCATACGTCTAAACGACAAGATATAAGATATACTGACAGTGATCTCTTTAAATGATAACTTAGGTAGTTTCAAGAAACGTAAAAGGCTCAATTTGCATTGAAACAGTACTGAAAAGGACCAAAACAGTAATATTGAAAATCAAGGGAAAAGGTTACCTCCAAATGGAACGCTCTGTGGTGTGTTGAGCTGCCAACGACTCTGATAAATCCCTGGCATCGAAGGACTAATCATTTCCACTGTTAATTCGGCTTCACCTCCAGGACCAAGGCTGGCAACCGGCACTCTCATTTCAGACGATAGTGGTGTTCCTGTAATGTTCACTTGGCTAAGGAGCCAGTTCACTCATGTAAGATGATTTCTTAATCTGGGAAAACGCTCACCTTCAACAAAGCACAAAGCTGTTCCCTGCGGCCAATGGACCCCGCCATTGTTCTTAACACGCCATGATTTTACGAAACGAGTTTTAGGAGGTACGGATTCGCCCTATAAACCCATTGAGGTAATATCATTCAGGAACAAAAGATCAAGAAGATAATCCGGCCCATACTCAAAAAAATAACATGCATAATTAATAGGGCAAACTTTCCACACAAATTGTTGGCGACCACAAAATGAAATGTAGTAGCTTATCAATTTGATCCTGCAGTTCTGATCAACATTTTACGACAATTCCGCTTTTGAACATGGCCAAAACGCAAAAAATGACACCAAAGCATGCTAATTTCCATAAATCGGCCTTCAACATAAAGGTGGCCAGAGCTCAGTTGAAAATGCAAACAACAAAATTTACGAACTACAACAGCTGGGCACACATTTCGTTGAGCGCCCCGTGAAGGCTAAAAATGCACCATTTTAAGATAGCGCCAGCGCTGACAACAGGTGTCATATCTACTGTAAGGACCACAGGAGCCCGTTGAGCGAGATTTTTATCGAAATCCGATAAAATCCACCCATACCATGCAATTTCTTCGATACTTTTTTGGTCTTCAGGGACCGGTCACCTGATCAAAATGAACCGTAGGTTTGCAGTTCACAGAAGAGCCCCTACAGCATGCAAGAAACCGCTTCGGAGAAGCGCCTCAAACCCTGTGATTTCTATTCAACGCACCTCACCAATCGTTACGTCCCTTACGAGTTGCATATTCAGTAAAGGTAAGTCAAAACCAATTTCACCGACGTTGTTTGTATGTCCATGATCATAGTAAGCACCTACAGCATCTTGGAGATTCCTGAAAGCAACAAAATAAAAAATAAAAAAAAAGTTGGAGGACACAGCTACAGAATATGCTTATGAATGTCACCAAGTGTACAGGGGCGGGGATAAGAGAATGAAGAGAAGATATTTTCCAATGGATTATTCACATGTTGCTAGATTCGAACCACCTCCAACTGAGAATTGGAGAGCACATTCTATTTTAAAGAAAACTTCATAGTGGTCTCCTACGTGGACTGTGTCAGGAAAATTGCCGGGAAACATGGTGCACTGGTCGAGCTTAAAGGGATCCACGACGAATCGCGTGCCATCGCGAAGTTTTCTGGGAAGCGTGTTCCGAGGTTTTTTTTTCAATTAGAGCTCATGCCTCTAGAAAATCCAACAGTGATGCGATACAAGGAACAATGTACAAACTTCAGGCTGGAGCAATTTCGGTAGGTCACCCTGAGCTCGACGAAGATGGCAGACGACGTCATATTCTGGAGATTTTGAAGGCAATGAAGGAGGGCTTGCGTCTACTCACAGAAGGACATTTTAGGAATATTTGCTGTAAGACTTCCATCACCGGTGGCAATTCTTGAGACGAAAAAATGGCTGAAGTGCGACGGCAAAATGCCGTTTTTTGCACCCCCCCCCTCACCTCTCCCTGTCAGTCTTTCTTATGAAGTGATCATGAGTCCAAAAAATTAAATTTGACAGCACGCAAGGTGCACAATGAAAGTGGAGGTGTCATACAGCAGCACTCAAATCAAATATCGGTTTAATTGACTAGATTAGTTACACTTGCACAAGAGAGAGCTAGCAATCAGGCCGCATGATGGACGCATTCTAACAAAAATGCTACATAGGGTAGACTTGTTACAAATTAGGGATCAAGAAATGCAATAAAAATCTTAATACAATAACGGGTATGGTAGTTAAATTAAACTGGCTTTGAAAGAAACAACGGTGCTAAAAAAAAAGTTTTGAAATCTTACCAGTTTGTCATATCCAAAAAGAAAGCACACAATTCCGGAGACAGGCTTACATCTCCCAAAATGCTTTGGAATTGCTTCACCAGCACCTAGATATAAGCAAAATAAAAAAAGTTGTATCTGCTTAATGTAATTCAACAATACTACCTAATCCATTGCGAATAACCGCATTGCGAATCAAATCACATTTCATAATTTATCAACGGCATCAGGTGCTAAGGTTTGGGGGAGGGACCAGGCGGCCGTGAGGCGCTCTGTTTGTCTGCTTCTCCAAAGGCTTACTCCCAGAGACAGTTACTATTTCGCCATCACGTGACAGTTTTAAAGTACCCGCCATCGGGGACTAAGCCTTGTAAGAGGAGACGGACAGAGCGCCGCGCCGCCGCGGGGTCCCCCCCCCCCAACTAAGATAGCACCCAGGATCAATTAAACAGCGAAATCATAATCTGTCATCAAGATTTTTTGTACTTATCGAGTTCGAAAAGACAAAGTCAAAGTTTTAGAACATGGAAAAATGCCAAATAAATCATCAAGACGATTACTCTTTGTGCAAATGCTCATGGTATGCCAGTCGGTCCGCAATGAGCTGATTTATACGAAAAAAAAGAAAAACGAAAATTCCTCACCTCCTTATCGCTGGTTCCTAAACATGATAGTTGACGAATCAACATGTTGTCGATATCGTCGGTGTCCATGAACTAAATGAAAATTGTCTTTAAGGTGCGTCATGAGGAGCAGGTTAAACACATGAGATTAGAGCGCACATTAAGGTCATTGCAGAGAATTACGAATACCGAGAGAAATACGCCGTCTGCACGGCAGAAAAAGAAAGCCTGATGTTCAAGTGTTCATTGGCGTGTTATTGTTCGCTTGCTGCGGCACGCAGACAACATGTGAAATTCAGAACAAAACCAAACACCGTATAGAACCAAACAGGAAAGTCAGCCGAAATGATTGACACGTATCAGGACAACAATAGCTGGACAGTCTGAGTACGTCACACCCGTTGGCCGCTCGCAAGAAACGTAATTAATCATCATACAACTATTTGCGACCGTTCGCAATGATATTACTCATGAGTATTCCTACAACGGGTTTTGTACATCGAAAGCGGGCGGAGAAAACTCGCTAATTTAGAGCGCTTAAGGGCAAAGCATTTTCCTAGTTGATATAAGTGAATAAGAAATGATCACTCAGAAAAGGTAATTCAAATGTCGAGGAAACGGCGCTTGTGGCCTTAGGAAGACAGTCAAAACAATTCAAAACAGAGCATTTAGAAGCCACTGTTAGGTAACACTAGGTCTAAGCCCACAGATGAGAAATGCTACGGAGAATAAAAATTGCTCACATCCGTTTCCAAAGACCATTCCCCTCTCCAAAGCCCAATTTCAGGTACTGCAAGTGGCTCACTTACTTGAATGGCCCCCCACACCCCAACGACTTCAGCGCCGTCGGAATCAATTTCACTATTTTTTTAGAATCAAATCACTAGTGAAACACTCCCAGGACCTCAATATTCTCGAAGAGATAGTTCATGGCTCCCTCAAGAAGAAAATGACTAGTGAAACACTCCAGGACCTCAATATTCTCGAAGAGATAGTTCATGGCTCCCTCAAGAAGAAAATGACTAGTGAAACATTCCCAGGACCTCAATATTCTCGAAGAGAATGTCATGGCTCCCTCATGAAGAAAATGGCTACAAAAGAACTAACACAGATGATTTTGGTATGTAGTGAAGGCTGCCATTACACTTTCAGCTGTTCAAAAAGAGTAGGGGAGGGGGGGGGGGACATTTCGATGCACTGCAACGATGGCGAACCCGGAGAATAAGATTTTCGCAGAAGCCTACGGAAGAGAGCTCCCGAATGGGCAGACCGTTCCTCATAAATGGCGAAAAACAACGTTGCAAAAAAAAGTATGCTGAGTCCCCCTACGGCTCTTCGGCAATCTGAGCATGGCGAATCTATTTTCCATTCCAAAGTCGTTTCATTGCTTCAAAATAAAATGCCATCCAACCTCTACAAAATCAAAATAAAATAAAAACCGTGGAATTTCAAAACCCTGAATAATTCCTTGTGGAACGTTAGAATCACCATGATGCTTGCGAACTATCGCACAAAACTTCCTGCCCCTTACACAGCGAGTAGCGTTTTACTTCTAAATTATAATGAATCAAAAGTTGGACACAGAGGATTAACTTCAGCCACACCCTTCATGACCTCACGTGCCTAAATAACCTTCCCCAACCGTTACTCGTAAAAGAGGTTTCGATGTGCTGAAACTAGAGGTAAATAGTTACAATCGAAACATTAGCGAGACCTCATACGACAGAGAGAGAAATACGTAGGTGTGGAAAATATTAATTTTCAGTTTACAAGTACAGAATATTCAAACTATCCCTTCTCAAGCCAACCTTCCATACCTTGGCGGCCGCTTAACTGATAATGAATTCAACTAGTAGGATAAGAGACATACCGAACATTAGCCGGCCACAAATGTCGTTTAAAAACCCGAATCCCACTCGAATGCTGCCACAAATCTGAATAGGGGATAACACGTGGCTTATCCAAAAAATGCTATCAACTACGTTATTCTTAAAACCTTGGACAAAGTAAACCGCATTTACGGGACTTCGTCAGAAAACTTCATGACTCACTAAAAACTGTTACGAATGTTCAAATTATGTGGGCAAAAAAGGAAATCATATTTGGTAGGCAGTATAAAAACACAACCACCTTTAAGCCCAGTTTTCCAAATATAATGCAAAGAAGATTGGGCCGTTAAGGTGTATCCAAATCGTGATCAGATTTGAATGCACTGTCTTCAGCCTCATCACTATTAAGCTTGCGCCTATTACACTGTGAAGAACATTGAACATCGAAAATGTCATCGCCACGCCAGAAAAACAGTTACAGTCGCTGCAATGAGCACGTGCCAGCAGATGGGCAATAGAGAGTACTAATGTGATGAAGAAATACCCCACCCCCCCATAGTACAACCATGTCACGTTGAAACGCCGTTCAGGGTTGACGGACTGCTTGAACCCGGTCCTTTAAGCCGCCTCAGATCCATCTCTCGTCTGCGCTCTCTCACCTTATCAGCGGCTCATGACCTTTGTGACCACACACATTCAAACTTTCACCACACAAAAGTTGGCTCGCCCACCTCGAAGTCCCTCCCTCCTACAAGGCCTAGTCCTAGGGCTCTCACCTCGTTCCCTGGAATTTTAAGCCGCGGCAGGCGCCGTGCTCCAACTGTCTATGCCCTCCGCCATTCGTGGCAGGACCATGGAAGATAGTTCAAGTAGTCTGTAAACCGAAATATACCAAGCCGCCGGAACGACATGAAGATCGATGGGTTGAGAGCAGATGCTATCGCGATAACTGAGAAACGCCTCAAAATAGAACCTCAGTGCTATCCTTTCAAATCCGACAGAATGACTTCATTTCGGAAAGACAATACACAAAAATACTGATCAGGGTCAAGCATCCTCTGAGGATGCTTTGACGAGTGGTCGTTTTTGACCTATTGGTAGGAACGCTCGCGCTGTAAGGTTCATTTTCGGGAGGTAGCGAAACCCAAAAATTTCTAGGGTTCTAGTAACTTGGACACGTTTACGGTTTCAGCTGTTAGCCCCTCGTCCCCCTCCCCCCGGTTTCGATGACCTGTAATAAGGTGTAAAATGATGTAAAGCAGATGTGATGGACTTCAAGTGGAGAGACGTCGAATTTCGAATATTTCTTTAAAACCGCTCTAAAATTTGTGGTTCTCAGAGTGCATTTCTTGTAACCTAGAAAAAGCGTAGACGCTGAATCGGGTGAAACTATAAACGCGATTAGTAAAACATTTACCTGTAATATCCGATTACAATCTCAGGTTTCGGATTAGCCAAAGATTAGTCATCTAGATGCAATTGCTTTGTTGCTGAAGCTACTGGTAAAATACCAGCGTCAATCTTGCATATAAAACGTAACATCAGGGAGCTGAGCTCGACACTTTCTTCAGATGATACTTTTCGTCAAGCATCGACTTCATGGAAAAATCGTACTTGCATCAATTCCTACTCGAAATTATACCAAGATTAAACTACTCAGTGTTACTATTTATATGGGAATATGGTTGTCTTTGCACGTGAATGCTTGACTTTGAGAGACTTTGTGTGGGAGCTTTGCAGGGGGCATTCCAATATGGGAGAGGCATCGCTGGGCAAACCTGCCCCAATCCTAATTTTGCAACCGCACCGCGGTAGTACAACATGCCCCCCCCCCCAAATCCCAGGAAGGGAAGTGAGAGCTCTAGGACTAAGCCTTGTAGGGGAAGGGACTTCGAGGTGGGTGAGCCGACTAAAGTGTGGCAAAAGTTTGAATGTGTGTGATCACAATGGCTATGAGTCGCTGATAAGGCGAGAGAGCACAGACGAAAGATGGATCTGAGGCGGTTTCAAGGATCGGGTGCAAATAGTCCGTCAACCCCCTTACGATGAAATCCTAAATTAGTACACGGAAGCAAACGTACAAACGCGTCAGAGCGCAGTTCGAAAAATGTCGACCCAACCTCATTTGCTCGGTCATACAAAGAAGATGACATATAACCTGTCTTTACTGCTTAAGTAACCGAAAACTTTGGCAAAGGGATCTGTGAATAACCTCCCAGCAATATTTTGTGCGAAAATGCCGCTACATCACACCAATTCCACTGCATTCATCAAAAGCTCAACGAGCTTATTTGATTTACTGCTAGGCTAAGACATCTAGCCGCTGGTTGAAGCACTTCACAGCAGCAGTCAAATAATTTGTTAGTGTGATCTGCCACCAAAATTTGATGAAACCCCGTCTAAAAAATGTTCTACAAAGAAGAAAAATAAAGGAATTGATAAATATAACTATCAAGGGAGCGTACCAGCTGAGCAAATTGCAAATTATACCGATATTCGACAGTAAAAAAAACTCAATCTCAAACAATAGTGAGCCATAAATACTCAAAGTAAAGAAAACGCTTTCAAGCAGTATGTTTTGTGAAATTAGCTACTAATAAAATCAGTACTTATAACACATCCATGAGGTCGAGGAAATAAAACAGGATGCTACCAATCGAAACTCGTAGATTTGAGTGAAGACGGTGTCAAGGTCTTAATAAGACATAATTTGGAAATTAAAAATAGCTACGGCAATCTATTATCAACACTGAAATAAAGAAATCGAGATTCGAAAAACACTATGCAGTATTTCACAATCACTGATGAGGCATTTCAAAGAGACCGTAAAACAAATGAAAACCACATAGAATTGAAAAAAGAAAACAATCTACGACAAAAACTCGAAAGTTCTAAAGAGAGAAAAGCTTTGCACTTACGCCAAGTAATCATCCACAAAAATATTGCAGCTTTGAGCTTGTTTTTTTCCAACGCCATGATTTGAAAATTGAAAGCCGACGACGCTTGTTGCTTGGCGTGTCGTAGTAAAATACACAGCAATTTATGAGCATATTTGTGGAGTTATTATTAGAGCAGCGCTTTATATTTAGAAATATAATCGATGAGCCTTCATAGCAAACAATGAACTTTCACCTAGTAATTTTGAAAATTTGGTTTTCATGGGGTATGAGTAGTTCAAAAACCAGTGTCAAATTTGTTCCTACTTTTCACATGACGCGTTCACGACTTCGAGAAGTGCACCAAAAAAGGGACAATACGCTGAAGAAAAGTCTTCATGGATGTGACGAGCATTATGAATATTAGCGAAGCGACATCCCTATTGGCTAAAAATATTATAACGGTTATAGCAAGACTAATAACAGACATCATTACCAATAGTAATATTAATAATATATAGCAATATTGTTGGTTCCCTGAGCCTCACATGTCAATTCAGAACAACAGCAATTCGAAAGCTCTTCTTTACCAAAACTTTACTGGTAACGTTTTAGGCCTAAGCCCTTCTTCAGAATAATAAGAATAATAATATAATTGTAAAAGGAGTGATGACTTGACAAATAAATCATACGGCTCTCACTGCTTCCTTGGGATGCGCCACGCATTCTCATCCCATCCAGGCGCTGTGACATTTGAGTGCCATTCAGCCCTACAATAATCAGCCAGTGCTCACGTTAGTGATTTGCCCCCCTTGGGCGAATTTGTGGCCAACTCAGACCCTGGAGGTAAGAGAGTCTTGGCTGATCTGGACTGCATCGTTCGACCCTTTTTGGAATACGCCATGCGTTCTACATTCATAGAATCGGGATAGCATTTGGGTGCGGTCCGGCCTATGCATAAAGTTGCGGTGCCGGCCGTTGCACACATTAGTGCCTTATCCTCGCAGTCGAGTTTCGTAAGACCGACAAATTTCAGACGGAAGATAGGCTCTGTGTCTCGGTATGGATAGGTCGGAGATTCGATCAGGAAGGAGCATAAACATAAAGCGTTGCGTTGTCTACTCTTTTTTTCTATGTTATGATTCCATGAAGTCATCGAACCCCTTCAAGCTGCCCTGTTCATTTTCTTTGAAGGATTCCAGAAAAGGTCGGCTATTGAAGAGAGGAGGATACACTCAGTCGAGAGGCACGCCCCCCCCCCCCAAGGGTGTGGGTTCAATGCTCGTTTCGCAGTGAATAGTATGCCCCGAGCCGGCCACCCACCAATTAAGTTGTGCAGTTATCATCGACGGGTCGAATTTTGGACTTTAAGGGTTGTATTTTAGGTTGGTGGAGACCGAAAGTTTGGAAATAGTGGATCGAACTTGAAGGGGTAGTGTTAATAGGAGCGGAGAGTGTTATTTTTTTCTTGAGCAGTTTTGTGACGATTTCGGGTAAAACTCCATTAAAGAAGGAGAGTAGCAAAAATTAGAAGATTTTCCGTTTTTTTACATGCGGACTTGGGGTGTGTCGAGT